TCTAATTGCCACCCACCTCTTTCACTCATCCATCTGGAGGCAAGCTAAGTCTTCCCTGCTGTTAGAAGCATCACAAATACAGTTTTGAGAACAGGTAACTACAATCATCCATACTGACAGAGGATTCTGTGCTTCTGCTAGATTCTAGCTGTTTGCTTTTGTTTCCTGGCGTTGATGTTTGTTTATTTGAAGAATGCACTGAGTGCTTAGAATTCACTTAAATGCCTGGCAGGGCTTAAAATTACACCTCTAGGTCCTCCTTTAAGCTAGCAGCTCTTGAGCACTCCCAGGGCACAGACGCAAAAGAGACTAATTCCATCTCTTGTAACTATTGTAAGCTTTATCATTTGTGTAGATTTTCCCCCTCTCTCTTTAAGTAAAGATCTTTTAACTTTTCTTTCCTGTGCCACTCGTCCTTCCCCACCACTTAAAAGTTACCCGTGAGTTTTTTGCTTCACAGTACTCAGTAGGCAAGCTGTGGATTCATCTCAGGGATTAGAGACCTATGAAGTAACATATAATGAAAAGCAAACTGTTGGTTTCTCTCACTCCACAAACGTTCAGTGCACCCCCAAGTTTCCAAGAAAGCTGCGGTGGGGACATGTGGGCAGAAGCCATGCTCTGAGGGCCTGGTCTGTACATCACCAGCTGCTCTGGTCAGCTAACCAGTGCCATCACATGGCAGAAAATTAAATAGACGAAGATGCGCAAAACTCATTTGTCTTCCTCTATCCAGGGAGCTTTCTGCAAGTTATCACAGGGTATTCTCAGTTTCTTCATCATGGATAAGTGACGTCTTCAGGAAAGAGAAACCTTCTCCTCACAAAAGGGTGTTTTCATAACCCCTCTGATCTCTGCATGGCATTCTCTCCACCAGAATTTGCAACAGCAAGGGAAAGGGACTTGCAAAACAGGAACGATGGCACAATCTGAGACCTATAGGTCCAGTCCACACTGAGTTGGTGCTTGCAGGGATTGGGTCTCCAGCTCAGATCACATCTAGACAATTAGTCTCCCATCTTCACAGTTAGTGAGATTTGCCCAGATTTTCACAAGTTATTACACACATGCATTCCTCCCTACTCTGTGACATACCTCCTTTTCCCAACTCAAGTGCCCTTTTCTGTGACAAAACAACAAACATGGTACAAGTGCCTGGAGCCCATCTACTTGGTGCTGTGCTCAGCCCAACCCTAACCTCCTTCTATAGCTCTAAGCACGCTTACCACACCCGAGACATTACCAATAGCCAACAGAAATCTTTGCAGATGCTAAATCAAGGATTGCCTACAAGTATATTTAGTAAGTAAATATACATGCAGCAATTATATTTCACCCACCAGCTCAAAACCAAGCAGTCGTCACTGGCACTATGTCTCTCAAAGCATCAGATTAAGTGAACTAAGGGAATCTCAGCTGCCAAGGGGCCAAAACCCACAGCTAGCAGAACCTGTTACAACCCCACTGAAATTCAGCAGCTTGTGCAAGGATGTTTATTCATTTATGGAAAGAATTGCAAACAGCAAGTCCACTTCCAAACAGCAGAGAGGCTGTTTTCTACAAGTACATGTAACCATTTCTGTCAGCACAAGCCTGGCACCCCGTCATCTCACAGAACCACAGCTGTGATCTCACATTCACACGTTTTTGAGAGATTCAGCATGCTGCTGCACAGCCCCTGCATCTCAGTATACCAGCTTTCACTAGACATCCTCAGATTGAAAGATCACTCTCATAATATGCCTCTGCTGAGCTCGTTCTGTCACCAGAAGGCGACAACAGACACAGATGCTCAGGTTAGCTTGTTTCTTTTCCATGAAGCCTATTTCAAAGCCCTTTGCTGAAAAAGCCCCTTGTCACACACATCACTAGGATGTTCAGGCTGAAAACAGGCTGCAGAAAAGGTATGAAAAACTACACATATCTGTTACACTGGTTATATGATAGACCTTATGAAAACAGAGATTATATATGTGCCTATCTACGTGCATGGCTCAACTCTTCACAGAATTGTAGGGGTTGGAAGGGACCTCCAGAGATCATCGAGTCCAACCCCCCTGCCAAAGCAGGTTCCCTACGCCAGGTCGCACAGGTAGGCATCCAGGCAGGTCTTGAACATCTCCAGAGAAGGAGACTCCACCACCTCCCTGGGCAGCCTGCTCCAGTGCTCCGTCACCTCACTGTAAAGAAGTTCTTGCGCACATTGGTGCGGAACTTCCTATGCTGCAGTTTCCGGCCGTTTCCCCTTGTCCTGTCTCCACTCACCACTGAAAACAGTCTGGCCTCGCCATTCTGCCCCCCACACCTTAGATATTTATAGACCTGGATCAGGTCCCCTCTCAGTCTCCTTTTCTCAAGGCTGAACTCTTGATTGAACTTGATCTGCAACTGTGGATTTTCTCTTAAGGTAAGCAATACTTCTGGTTTGGTTTTGTTGTTGTTCTGTTGGTTTTTCCTTTTTTTTCCCCCACAAGTTGCTTTCATACAGCTAGGCTTCTGCAAAGGATTTTACCTTCAAGAAGGAAAAAAAATGTCTATATAATTTCATGCAATAATTACTTAGGGAGCTCAGTTTAATCTTATGCTGTAGCGTGTAAATGTAAGCCTGGGGAAAGTAGTACAATAAGAAGGCATCCGGTGAAAGCATGTGTGCAAAATAGAAACTGGAGCACCTAGCATGAAGGACTCACATTTTATCATCTGCGGTGGTGAAATCTTACTCACACAAATCTTCATGAGCATTAAAGGCCTCATGTGTTTCCTTACTGTAGAAAATGCTTCTCCCTGGAGACCCGCCTGGTGGTTTGATGTACAATTACATGAATTAAGTAATGAATTGATTATAATTAATGCTAAGCATCTGGTGGCAGCTGCTGGTGCTCAATACTAGAAAACCAAGCTGTTAGGTCCTACTTGATCTTTACAGTGCTACTGTTGTTGATGGAGGTATAAAGGAGGAGTAGCAGCACTTTATTCTGCTTTTCTCTTCCTCAACTCTGCAGATGCTGCTGAGACCTTGGAGCAGCCTGAAGCACTGTGATAGCCAACATTCCAGCTGCAAATTCATGCTGGCAGATGAAGAAAAATGGCATTTACACTGAAGGTGCCTTTTTCCTGTTTAATAATGAATATCCTTACACAGGCAATTCCTGTACACAGTCAGGGAAAAAAGATTCTCTTCAACTGTAACTCCTTGTAGTACTCACACTGACTCCTGATAGTGCTGAGCATCCAAAACTTGTGCTGAAATGTCTGAGACAGTGCCTGCTCAGTGCTGCCAAATTGATGGGTGAAGAAGAGGAGAAACCATCAGAGTGGGGAGTTTCCTGATGGGCTGAGGTTTGTGCTGCAGGAGTAACTGTGTGATCTCTGAGCAGAGGAAATGCATACATCCTGAAGTTGCTAATGGTTTCTTTAGGATGCAATGTCAGATTACTATCAGTGCATTTATAATTACAGGACAGAGTAAATAGCGCAGGCATTATGAAAGACTTTGAAATAATTAAAGAAAGAATTTCTAAAGGAGCAGTGTAGTTACATTTCTACACATTACGGAGGCAAATTTTTCAAATGAAACAAAGCAATGCTCACTCTTAATTACCATTAAAAAAAAAAAAAAAAGAAAGAGTGGCAAAGAATGGATTTTGAATGTTCTGCTCTGTGGAGATGTGTGTGGTATGAAGGCATGATGGGAACAACAGCTCAAGGAAGAATTTCAATGTGTTTTCTCACTCTAACCTCACTCTTAGGGGGGCTTATTTAAGGACAGCTGGCCAACCTAATGGCAAGGTTACTAAGAGATAAACACTGGGTAATCTGGGTGAGATATATAAGTGTGTGTGAATGAATCTATTTTGGGGGGAGGGGATTTTAGTCTTAGACAAAAGGAGTGTATGTCTACTTCCAAGGCTGATGTGTACAATTTTAATTAGCATTTTGAGTTGTTGTCAGGACTCTGGATGGTCACATTTACAATACAATAGCAAAGAGAAATCTATCTCCACATGTGCTGTCAGTGGAGCTGAAACTAGCTTTTATTTATGACTGCTGAACATCTGTGGGTAGGGCATTGGCAGCAGCGGTTCTTTGTCTCTAGAGCTTATTATTTCCTCTTGATGAGGAGGAGTCCATGTGTGCTAGCCTTCAGAGCATGGTGTATGGACCAGCAATTTGCCATGCTATGCTGTTTTAGGAAGATAATAATGGGTTACATAGTCAGAAAAGACTGGTTTTCCCAGGTGAGACCTGAATGACAGAATGCAGATGTTAATTTTATAAAGTGATCTTGTTAGTGTAGTTTCCTATGTGCAGTGCTCTTCAATATGAGAAGAGGAATCATGTGAAACAGGACTGAAAAAATACCTTGTAGGTATTTTTTGACTTCTAGGATGTTGGTGTGTGGTTCAGGAGCTACAGTTTTGAAGGTAGAGTGCAAGATACAGGCTTACTTCTGGTTTACTGGCATCTGCAGTGTGTAACCATAGATCTGGAAGAAAGCCACATCTCCTGTCCTGATCCCAAACTAGTTGAGGAAATGTGAATGGAGAAGCTAGAAGTGATCTGTGTTCTTGGGGGCATATATGTTACTATAAGTCAAATTAAATTGATTATTTTCTTCTTGAAGCATGAAGTTTGCGTCACTGCTCCTTAGTTTAAAAGCTCTGTTGCATTCTCACGTTGTTCTTTCTTACAGATACAAGTTTCAACTCCGTTATGTGACTGATGACTGAAGTTAGGAGAACAAAAGATTGTGTTGCTTCTGTCCTTTATGTTATTATAACACAACAGAGCTTTGAACGCTGACTTGTTATGAGAATAGCAGCTTTAATGAGTAATAATGACAAAAATCATTCAAAGAAGTCGACAGAAGAGCGAATGTGAACGCAGGAAAGCCTGGCTAACGCTCTTGCTCTGCCACCTCATGTGCTTTGATACTAAAACAGAGCCGCAGCGGTGTGCTCAGGATCCGGGTGAAGCCACGGACAGTCCCGCCTCCTCGCATGGCCCTTCCCGGCCGCCGTACCCGCCCTGACTCCGCCAGGAGGCGCGGCGCTGCGCTCACACAGCGGAATCGAAACGAAACCGCCGGGTGGAGAGCCAATCCGCTTCGAGCTTACTGCGCGGCGGCCCGCCCCCAGCCCCTCCAGCAGCCAATAGGATGCCGACTGTCGACGAGGTGCCCGCCCAGCCTCGGCGCGATGGCCGCCGCCACGAGTTGTCGGCGCGTCGCGTTCGGCAGTCTGTCCGTCGGAGCAGTCGGCGGTCGGGCCGTGACGCGATGGCGGCGCTTCCTGCTGCCTGGCGGCGGAACGCGGCTGGTGTCTGCCCGCAGCGCGGCGGCGGAACGTGGGCCCAGCTGTGCCGTGACGGTGGACGTCGGGGGCAGGTGAGGGGTAGCGCGGCGGCTGCTGCGCGGGGCCGGGTCTGTGGGCTGGAAGAGCTGTGAGGCAAAGGCGCGTTGGAGCGAGGCGTTGGGCTTTTGTGTGCGTCATGAGTCCTCAGGTATCAGCACGAACATCGTTCCGAATGGATGCCGCAGGTGAACTCGCCGTGGATTTGCGGTTGTTGTCAGTACGGGGTTCTTTCTTTCCAACAGGAAGATGGAACTGTCTTCTGGGAAACTTGCCAGGTTTGCTGATGGAGCTGCTGTCGTTCAGGTAAAAACGGCCCCAGGGAAACTTCACATCTTAGTGGGACATCGGGGTGTGCAGAGGAGCAATGGGCCTGAAGGAGCAATATATGCCCTATGGGGAGGGTGGGGGCAGGCCCTTCTTTCTGAACGGCTGCTGCTGCAACCGTGGAATTATGTGAGTTTTTTCTATAGAGAATGTTTTGAACTATAATTTTAATATTAAGTTTGGGGCTTTAAATGCTATCTGGTGGATAATCTCAGTAAGTGTACGGGAACTACACGGCCTGAACCTCTGATTGATCACCTGAGGTGAGCCATGAGCCAGCCGAAGGAGCACAGCTGAAGGCAATTCACCTGTGCTGCTGGAAGGGGTGGAGCCTGGCTCCTCCCTTCCTAGACCTATTTAAGAGCTGGCTACCAGTGGGGAAGGATCTTGTCTGGAGATCCCTCCTTCTGTTTTGTGGTGAGCCCAGCATAAGGGTAAGCCTTCCATTTATTCTCTTTTGTTATCATAGTCCACTTCGCCTAACTCTCTTGTTTATTTTGTGATTGTAACATCTTGATATCCATTGATTATACAGTATGTTTTTCCTTGATCCAGCTAGGTGACACAGCAGTGATGGTCACAGCAGTCAGTAAAACCAAACCTTCTCCGTCTCAATTCATGCCATTAGTGGTAAGTTTTAATGCCAGAAGTTGTTTTCTAGTGATCATTAGCAGCCTTTAGCTGCACGAGTCATTGAACAAAAAGCTGAAGATACCGAGGGGAGCAAAGAAGGCAAAAAGCAGAGCACAAAGTTGGGTTTCAGAATAAAACAATACGATCAAAGTATTACATCTGTGGATGAAGGATGAGCCATAGATGCTGTCTACCTACCAAAAGCCTTGTGGATTTGGATGCGTGCTGCAACAACAGACTTCAAACATTATAGTTTAGATGTGTGGGGAGGCTGTTTGGATTGTGACTCTTGGGCTATTAGAGGTTAAGGATTCATATTCTAACTTATGGCTGATTAACAGTACGTTTTTCAGGGGGTCTATCCTGGGGCATTGCCTGTTTGATGCTTGTATCCGTGAGCTGGAATTAACACTCATCACTCAGGGTGCAGTTGATTCAGCACTGACTTTGCTCTGAGCATCTCTTCTAGCTTGAGTGATTCTGTAGCTCTGAAATTAGTGGTCCGATGTCTTTAAGAATCCTGCTTTTGTTTTTTGAAAGGTTGACTATCGCCAGAAAGCTGCAGCAGCAGGAAGGATTCCAACAAACTATCTAAGAAGAGAACTTGGTACTACTGATAAAGAAATTCTCACAAGCAGAGTAATAGGTAGGATGCATTCATTTTATTGGCGGTACTTAAAAATATTTCATCACATCATGTGTGTTTGAAAAGAGGCAGTAATTTATAGCTGTGTCCTGCAAAGTTGATTGTTTCTGCAATAATATCAGGGGAAAAAAAAAAAAAAAGCAAAATTGCTCATGGTAAAGTTTAACAGGGCTAATTTTAAAAAATTATGTCAGCTGGGGCTTTTTTTTGCACCTATTTTTGTTACACATCTGGATCTTGAACTTCCTTGTTGGCACCTCTGAGATTATAGCACCTAAGTTCTCATCCTAATGAGAGGTCACCTCTCCAGTTGCACATCTATTTGGAAAGACTGAAAAAACAAACAAGGTAAACTCAAAAGAACTGAGACACCAACTTACTGAATGGTACACGTTCAGTCTGTGCCTCTTGATTCTGCTGGAAAAGTCATTTCTACCATGGATAAAAATGATTTTGTGGGTAAAATTGAAGTTCAACATTTACATAAAGCTGATGTCAAATGCATCAGTATTTTAAGACTGCACTTTTGAGTTGAGAAGAACTGTAAGGCCTGGGTTCTAAAAGTTTGCAGATAAAATTAAGAGCTTCTAGGCATCTTGGAAGTAACCAACATGCTTTTGCTGTTTCACCTTGAGGTCTGTATCTTTTTCGTGTCCCTTCATTAGAAACATTTCTGGTAAAAAGATTATAACCATTTAACCATTACAAACCATGAAGACTCCTTAAAAGTGTTTTTATCCTGTGTTTCATGGTGATGGATGCACTCACTCATATTCTTATTTTCCCTGAGTGCTGATGGAATTTTGGCACTGATTATATATCGTACTGCATTTCTTCCTGGGTTTTTCTCTTCTTGTTTGCTTGAGTTGTTCATTTAAATGATCTTGTCAGCTTCTTGTGGAGTTTATGAGAAGATGAGCTGGCACTGGCTACTGAAAACTGAACATTTGGATGTTTCTTTTGCAGATAGGTCAATCAGACCCCTCTTTCCAGTAGGCTACTTTTATGATACACAGGTAAGTCACAGTCCTTCGCCTTTAGAATGGAAGAAAATCACACGTGATGTAGAAACTACTTTAGGAAAAGCAATTATGTTAGCATGAAGATTGGGCTTATGCTTCGAAAAACAGGCTGATTCTGTGATTCTGCTTTTTAGTTTCTCATTTTTGTGTCTTTAAACTCTCATTGCATGCTGGTTCTCAAATTTTGTTACAGAGGTGCGGAGACAAATTCAAAAACACTGAGTACAGCAAGGGAAACAAAAAATAATGTTACCTGACATTGCTTTAGCATCAGTGTTCTGGTTCTTCAGCATTAACCTCCTGGCTTAAGCACCTGAGCTGGCTTTCCTTTGTAGCTAATGCTGTAGAAGTTTGTGAAATGCTTTGTTGTTTTGTCTTTAGCTTTCTGATGATAGCTAATACAGATGTGTAGGTCAAAATTATTTATTGTCTTTTATCTTATGCCAGATCCTTTGTAATCTTTTAGCAGTAGATGGTGTCAATGATCCTGATGTTCTAGCAATTAATGGAGGTAAGAGTGCTGTCAGCAACATGTTGCTCGTGATTTTAATGTAATCTCTTTGTGCTAATAGGAATTTTTATCTTTTTATTCTAGCTTCTGCAGCCCTTGCTTTATCTGATATCCCATGGAATGGTCCTGTTGGTAAGTATGTGTTTTGAAATCATGGGTGGCCTGAGCATAATGGAAGAATTAGGCAACAGTTGGCTTCTTCTAACAAAACTCTGAATGTGGAGGTTGCTATCTTGTTTAAGGTGGTGAAATTCACTTCATGGTGAATAAAATTGTAGTACTTCAAATCGTTGGGTTTTTTCCTAGACAAAATTTATTTTGATTTATTTTGAAATATTATTGTTTTTAAATGTATGGTTCTCAAAGTAAAATGATGCCTTAAAAAAAAATGTGTTTTTATTTTAATAATAATTTTCTGGAGTTTTTTTCTAGGTGCAGTCAGGGTAGGCCTGGTTGATGGAGAAACTGTAATCAACCCAACTCGAAAACAAATGTCTTCTAGCGCTTTGAATTTAGTTGTTGCTGCAGCCCCACAAAACCAAGTGGGTAAGTAGATAATAATTAATATCTCTTGAATGTTCAGTTTGAAAATGAAGTAAATGCCTCGTTACAGATAGAATTTTCAGAGGTCAGAAAAATATCTTTAGACAATATTGATAAGAAACTTCAAGGTAAAATAATTTCCACTGTGTTTACACCATTGATGGGTAATGTGTATTTCCTTGGTTAAATTATAGATTAAGTGAATTTCTGTGGATTGTTTGTTTGTTTTTAATAATTTTTAATTTTCCATTGATAGTTATGTTGGAAGCAACTGCTGAGAATATATTGCAACAAGATTTCTGTCATGCTATCAAAGTAGGGGTGAAGCAAACCCAGCACATAATTCAAGGAATTCAACAGCTGGTGAAAGAACGTGGTGTTGTCAAGAGAACTGTTCAGAAATTATTTGTTGCTCCTGAAGAGATTGTGGAATGTGCCAAGAAGTAAGTTGGGAACAAACAGTTTTGGTCTGATGTCTATTAGCTGGCTCAAAAATATATACTTAAAGATTATTTAGTCATCTGTGACCAAAAAGCATGGAGTGTTATTCCACAACATCATCTTTTAAGCTTTCTGGATTTCTTGCAGCATTTTCGAGTGAAACTTAGGGACCCCATCTTTCAGCTCTGCTTTCATGCTTAGTGAGCAGGGCAAAACAAGAAAGTGACATGAAAAGTCAGTGCAAGCTGTATGCCATTCTTGTGAAGTGGTGACACTCAAAAAAAACCCATGTTGTGTGGCTTTTGTGAGCTTTATTTTGGAGGAGACAGGAACAAGAGCATGTAAGATGGACAGCTGGGGCTAGTGATGTTTGCAAATGGAAGTCTGATGCTTTCATGCTTCTCATAAAAATGTTCCATCTCCAAAAATTAAAAAACAATCATGAAAACACATGGTTGTACTTTAAACCATAAATTCTTTCTTCCTGCAGACTTGCTTTTAACAAGATCTATGCGGTGTTCACTGATTTTAGCCACGATAAAGTAAGTACAATTCCAATGTGATTTATTTTTAATATAATAAAGCTAGTAAGATTGAGTTTTTGTTCTTCTTTTTGAATGTATGGAATAGTAACAATAAATTGTCTTGTGAGTTTTTATCTACCAGAACTGATTTATAGCAGCACTTGTCAATCTCTCTGAAATTACATAAAGATTGTTACTTTTACTTTGAACTTCAAAACAAACCCAACAACAGCCCAGATTTCCCTTGTTCTGCTGTGTAGAGTTGACTAATTGCAAATCCTGTGTTCTAGGTTTCTAGAGATGAAGCAATTAACAAAATAAGACTTGAAACAGAGGAGCAGCTGAAAGGTATTATTTTCTGCTTTCCTGGTATTTAGAAAAGCTTAAATAACACTGCTTAAATATAGTATAGTATGGGGTTTGTTGGTGTGTGTTTGTTTGTTTGTTTTTGTAGGGTTATCTTAGTAGTTGTCTGTAATTCACTTTCTACTTTCAGTTGCAATTGCTTTTTCTTTCTTTTTTTATTTACTTATTTATTCTATGCCTAGAAAAATTTCCAGAGGCTGAGCCATATGAAATCATGGAATCTTTCAATGCAGTCTCAAAGGATATCTTTAGAAATCTTATTCTGAGTGAATACAGAAGGTAAGCATGTCAAACTCCATGCTGAATAGTAACTTCTGAATTTTATTTTTTTTTTTTTAATTTAAGACTATATTTCACTGTTCTCATAATTTCTGCTTCTCACTTCAGGTGTGATGGGAGAGATTTGACTTCCCTCAGAGATATTAGATGTGAAGTGAACATGTTTAAAATGCTTCATGGATCAGCCTTGTTTCAGAGAGGTCAAACGCAGGTAATATTTTTATGTTAAAAAGATGTTGAAACAGAAGGTTTCTGTGTGAAATACAGTGTTGCTCATATTTAGGAGAGCATTTGGGTGACTAACTTTTCTAGCATCTGCTTAATTGGGGTTTTTATATGTAGGGCAATGTTAACTTGTGTTTATAGTAAGATCCTCTAAATGAAACTTCATGTATCTTTTTAATATAACTGGATCAAAAGGGAAATAGTACTAAAAATTACATTAGTATGATATGAGCTGTTTGGTTTTTTTTTAATTCCTTTCCAAAAGTGTGAGATGAGTAGGTTTGAAGATTATACTCAGGGTCTACACAAAGGGTCATAAGGAGGATCTGGAGAACTACAGACCTGTCAGTCTGACCTCGGTGCCTGGAAGGGTTATGGAATAGATTGTCTTGAATGAGCTAACACAATATTTGTGGGATGACTGGGAGATCAGGCCCAGCCAACGTGGGTTCATGAATAGCAGGTCCTGCTTGGCCAACCTGATCTATGATTGAGTGACCTCTGCTTGGTGGTTGAGGAAAAGGCTGTTGTTGGAGTCTGCCTGGACTTCAGCAAAGCTTTCGATGCGGTCTGCTGCAGTATTCTGGAGAAGCTGGCAGCCTGTGGCTTGGACAGGTGCACTCTTAACTGAGTAAAGAACTGGCTGGATGGCCAAGCCTATAGATAAATGGAGAATGGAGTTACATCCAACTGGTGTCTAATCACAAGTGATGTTCCCCGTGGGTCAATGGTGGGGCCTGTCCTGTTGCATGTCTTTATTGATGACCTGGATGAAGAGATTGAGTGCACCTTCAGTAAGCTGGCAGGTGACACCAAACTGGGAAGAAGTGTCCATCTGCCTGGGGGTAGGAAGGCCTACAGAGAGATCTGGACAGGCTGAGTTGCTGGGCTGAGGCCAGTGGGATGGAATTTAGTAGGACCAAGTGCTGAGTGCTGCACTTTGGCCATAACAGCCCTACGCAATGCTACAAGCTTGGAGCAGAGTGGCTTGAAGACTGTGGAAGAAATGGACCCCTGGGGGTGTTGGCTGATACTGAGCTAACCATGAGCCAGCAGAGTGCCAAAGTGGCCAAGAAGGCCAAGAGCATTCAGTTTGGATATTAGGAAAGATTTCTCCTCTGAAAAAGCAGTGAGGCATTGACACAGGCTGCCCAGGGAGGTGGTTGAGTTCTTGTCCCTGAGCACATTTAAGAAATGTGTAGATGTGGTATCAAGGTTTAGCAGGGTTATCTTGTTGGTAGGTGGACAGTTGGACTGAATGATCTCAGAGGTCTTTTCCAACCTTGGTGATTCTGTGATCAGGTCTGTTATTTATTTACAGAATCACACCAAGGTTGGGAAAGACCTACAAGATCATCCAGTCCAACCTATTATGTATTAAACATCTGTTTTTCTTGAAAGATTCAGTTGTGCCTCACTGTTGGGTATGTGGGTAGCTACAAAGACTAAAGATTTGCTGATTTCCTGATTGTTGGGTCCTGCATATCCTCCTAAAAATAATGCATGCTGGAAGTCTGTGTGTTGCTATTTGGCCCACCACTGTCTGCACAACTTGATTCTTAAGTGAGCTACTTCAGTTTTACAGAACATACTGTTGGCTTCTGACAAGCTAGGAAATATTAAAATGGTATTTTTAGATGTGATCACTTGTAAGATCATACAATCTTGGCAAGACGTGAATGTTTGAGATGTGGGAAAAAGTGGTAGGTGATGCCATCCTATCTGTTGCTGTAATCATTCTTTTTTAATATTTTTTTCCAGTAGTATGAAAAAAAAACTGTTTACCTTGTTTTCTTATTCCAGGTTCTCTGCACTGTTACATTTGACTCCATAGAATCCAGTGTAAAATCAGATCTTATCTCAACAGCTGTGAGGTACGTGTATCTTTGAGTGTGTTTTTGTCAGCAGTGAGAATGTAAACACCTTCTTAAAAGTACCTAAGAATATATTAATTCTACAGACACACATTTGAAGTTCAAGGGTACTGCAAGTTGTGTCCAGCCTGGTTTTGAGAGAAAGAAAATAGCAAATGAATTTTGCATTTGTAAAACTGCATCAACATGTCAGGTCTCCTGGAAAAAAAAAAAATATAAAAAAAAAATAGATATAGATATAGATATATATCAAAGCTGATTCTCTTTGTTCCATCATACTTGGAACTTGGTACGTCTTCCAGTCATTTCATTGCTTTCTCATAGGTTTTGGAGTGTTTCTTTGATGTCTGATACACGCAGCCCACGAAGCACTGCTGTGTTTGTCAGTCTTGGTTCAAGTGTTTCCCATGCAAAAAGCAGCAGGTTCTTTTTTTCCCTGCTGAATAAGCCTTTTAAAATATTTTATCACAAAAATAGAAATGTTCAGAGGGTAAAAGAGTGTTTGTGGTCTTTTTTTAGTGGAGTAAGGAAAATTGAACTTGCGGTGTAGCAAACAAGCCCTTGTGCCATTAACTTTCTATTGCTGAGAGCTAACTTGTTGGGAAGAGGAAAATCCTTCCTTTTAAAGCTGCAGTTCAGTGATCTCATCCCATCAGTGTGGGAGCTTTCACGTAGTAGTGTCAGGTTTGTTTTCCTTCTGTTTATTTATTCATTTGCTTTTTTATTTTTGACCTGGAGGTGCTTGCCCATGTTTGTTAACTTTACTGTTCCAGGAATTCAGTTTATGCTAAGTATTCTGTAACTAGTGGCCAGTAGAATTTCATAAACAAGAGAGAGAGACTGCCTGTATGGTGGAGCTCAGTGAAACAAGTCTCGACCTAAAACAGCTGAGTTTTGTAGATTAGCACTTTTATTTGTTGTTAAGTATCAGTTCTTGGGATAATGCAATAAAATGTTTGACCGTAGGCATCTTTCAAGTGAATTGAGTAATCTTGCAGACTTTGACTTTCTCCTGCTGAGTGCTTGTATTTGTTAGCCCTTACTGAAGTGTGTGCAGTAAAACACTGGTTCTTGAAGTTTGTCTATCACCTGATGGATCAAAATGAGCATAAAACTAGGAAGGCTGTTTAAATGGCTACAGCTGACATATGATGCTCATTTCTTTGTAGACCACAGTTGTAATAGAATTACTAGGAGGGAAAAAAAAAAACCTTAATCTTTAAAAAAAAAAAAAAAAAAAAAAGACAAATAGTGAATCAGTAGATTTGCTGGTTTGGTCAATTTGTAAGCATAGATGAATATAATCTTACTTACTAACTACTTACTTACATCCTGCGGTGTTCTTCTGATGTGTTCTTGTTGTGTTTTGTTGTATCTTTTTTATTTAATAGTGGAATAAAAGATAAGAACTTCATGCTTCACTATGAGGTGAGTGTTATATTGTCACAACTGTGCATGATTTGTGTAAGAGCTTCTGGTCTTGCTTTTAAAGGTGAAATTGGTCCCTTCCAAGGATGTTAATTATTTCTAGATCTGAATTAGAACTTACAAGTAACAATTTATATGTGAATTTATCCTGCAGTTTATGAACAAAAGTACTGTTAAATAGGTAATTTGCAAGTTGCCATTTTATGCAGTCTTTCTAGTAGTTTAACACTTGTCAGCTCCTTAGGGACGAGTTATTATGGCAGACAGGATGAAGCTGCTCAAATATTTCTAGTTAACTATAAATACATTCCAGCTGCCATTCTGCAGCAATACTAAATAGTGTTTCTACAAGCTTTGAAACTTACCCGTGGTATTTCGTATGGGCAAGAGGCATGTGTTGCATTTTCTGGAAGACAAGATTAGATTAGAAGCAAGATTTCTAACGTGTTGTTTGACAAGCTTCCTTAGAGTAAGCTTGTTGCCTTATTCCTTTGCTGTCTTACAACTGTTTTATTTTCTCCTGTGGAATAAAGCAGGTGTAAAATAAACTCTATGTCAGATAATCTCGACTTGCAGACTGAGTGACTGATATTGTTTGGTTGCTAGATTTTTGTTTCATTTGTTTCTGCTGTTTTCACCTTGAGACGTGCCAAAACCTCCAAGTGTGTGTTTTGAAGTGGAAAAAATGGTAGCTTTCTGTATGTATATCTTGGAATTTCTTTCTTGTCTGCAGTTTCCTCCTTATGCAACTAATGAGATTGGCAAAGTTACTGGTGTGAATAGAAGAGAACTTGGACATGGTAAGATAAGGCTACACAAGTTGTCTCATGCTCTAAGCTTTAATATTTCTGTCTGGTTGGTTTTATTTACAGCTCAATTTTTGTATTTTTTTTTTTACCAGGTGCACTGGCAGAGAGAGCACTGAAACCAGTTATTCCCCAGGATTTCCCTTTCACAATACGAGTTACTTCAGAAGTCTTAGAGTCAAACGGTACTGTGATTTTCTTTGAGCAATGAGAGATGGATGGAGGTTGGCTCTTAAAGAAGCATCGAGACATGGACGTTTGTAGGCCACAAATCTAATTAAGTTCTAAAATCTGGTATCTCTATTATCTGAAGTGCTTTGAAGTGGGAAGAATACGTATGGTCGTGAGTAATAAACCCACAGCACAGTATCACTATGAAATGTGAGTTCAAATATGATTTTTAATAAAAAGGCTTCTGCTGAGACCAGTTATTCAGTGTAGAACTGCAGCTGACTTGCAGATAACTTCTGTCTGTTTGTTCTCATTTCCCCATTTGGGAGAAAGCTATTGATTTCACCTTTCTGCAGGTTCCCTTCTGTGGCCAGGAGTTCTTTGAGGCTCACCAGCGATTTCTTAGTGTTGTGAGATCTGGTGCCTGGCAGGAAGAATTAGTGGAGAAAGGGAATAAGTCCCATCTGCAGTTGATTAAGCTCCTAGCTTACTTTTCTAGAATATTTAGTATCAGTTATGATGCTTGTTGGTTTCTTTTTGGTACCAGTATCATGAAATATTCAAAGTCTTACACATTTCTTTATGAAGCGCTTCTTCTGTAGAAACCTTCTGGCTAAGTGTTGTTAGTTATTATGGTATGAGAGTTGCTGTAATGTATCTTCTGGCTAGCAGAGTCAATTTCCAGATGGTCACTGAAGAACATAAATGGCAGGTTTTATTTCAGGTGCTTTTAACCAATGTTTAATGCTATTTTTCCCCTGTATTCTAACTCCTTAGGGTCCTCATCAATGGCTTCTGCATGTGGTGGAAGTCTGGCATTGATGGATGCAGGTACAAAATGTGGCACTTATGAAGATAAACTGCATATTGCAGGACATTAAAGGATTTTGGAATGATCCAAGCTTATAAAACTGTATTTTTAATTACCATTATTAGGAGTTCCTGTATCAAGTGCAGTGGCAGGTGTGGCAGTAGGTCTTGTTACCAAATACGATCCGGAAGGAGGAGATCTTGAGGATTATCGTTTGCTGACAGACATCCTGGTGAGTGTTGCTGGCACAGTTGTTTCTGTTGATGCTTCTAGCTTTCTTCTGTAATGTATCCACGTCATTCTAGGTGCTGCTATGTTATTTCTTTTAAGCTCTTAGAAGTTTTCTGTTTTCACTTGGAAGAAAGCAATTTGTAACTGTTGGATTTTTTTTGTGTACTGAGAAGCACAACATATTAGGAGGAAAATGAGCTGTTGGCAAGGTTGTTGGGGAGAAAAAATGCACGTTATCATCCTTCTTCCATTGGCAGTCATTGGTAGAACCAAGTCAACTGTAGATTAGTTCAGAAAATGAGTCCATAAAGGTTCTTAATTTATAAGGAGGGAAAGAAACCGTATGCATTAGGAACAGTGAAATAAGATGAATGGGGGGGAACAAAAAATCTGAAAAGTGATAACACTGCAAGTGGCTTCAGATCCACTTTGTGGCTTCTTGACACCTAGAGTGTGCTTTTGGTGTAATGAATTTTGGCACTGGGATGTATTTAGGCCAATCTGTTTGGGTTTTTTTCTGCTTATACTGACAGGGAATTGAAGACTATTATGGTGATATGGACTTCAAGATGGCAGGTACAAGTAAAGGAGTAACTGCCTTGCAGGTATGCTAACAGAAAATACTGCTATAATTAATCTTCAAGAGGATTCTCTCTAAAAAATAAAAGCTTTCCCTATGTGTTGATGTCTCTTAACTGTTCTCACATTAGGTTGATCTAAAACTACCAGGAATACCAATAAAAATTATCATGGAAGCTATTCAACAAGCTACAGGTTTGTGCATACGTTTGCATCCATTTTATTATGAAATGTATTAAATTATAAGCTGCACTTTATTTTTATTTGAGATTGGGGAAAAAGAAGAAGATTTCACCCCTCTCCCCCAGTGTATTATAGTTACATGTTTTTGTTAGAGGAGAGTTCAGCCTCTGCAGAGCTTGACCCTTCCCAGTGCACTGTTTCATATCATTGTACATAGTATCAATGAAAATATGTGCTACTTCTGGAGGTTACTTTTCTACTAAGAGAAGGAAGGAAAAAATGCAATTAGTGTCACTATTGTAGGAGCAGTGTTTGCATTTGGGGGGAAAAAAAAATGCATTAAAACTTGTAGCAGCAGACTGGGGAGAAAAATCACTTATAGAGGCACAGCATCGAGGTGGTGGTGTGTGTTATGAAGTATTTGATTCCAGTATTTTGGAGTTGCCTGATGCAAAGAAATTCAATTGTACTGAGCCACGTCAGTTAAAAAATGAATAAATAAAAATTGTCATGTACTCAGATCATATGTTGGTGAGATGGGGAGGAGGGGGTTTACCCACGTTGTGTTAAGGTACTATGATACTTTACATTAGGCAGAAGGTAGATTTTATGAATGGATGCTTGTCTGCTTTTAACTTGCTCTTCAGTTTGTTGAGTTTGTTACAATCTCATGCAAAACTACTGCTTCCTTTTCCCCAACCCCTGCAGCTGCCAAGAGGGAGATTTTACAAATTATGAATGAAACACTGGCAAAACCCAGACCTAACAGGAAAGAAAGTGGACCAGTTGTAGGTAATATTAGTTGTACGTTGATATGGATTGATGCCTCTCCTAGTTTTTAAGCTGTTACAGAAAACAGCTTTTATTAACAAATGTCTCATTTTTCTGTCTCTGCTCCACTGGGGATACTTTGTGCTTTGAGGTGGATTTTTGCTTTTTATTGCCCTGAGCACCATTTTACTTGACAGCAGAAAGCAGAATTGAGCTGAAACTGTGTGAAACTCATGAAATCAAAATAGATATAAATGTCACTACTGGAACAGCTTGTGGTAATTTATGCTCTAGGTGCTTACATTCTATATTTTCATTTATTTTAATTCTTAAATGTAATTTAATCACTGATCAGCATATAGTACAAATAAAAATTAAACGTAAATGAATTAGACTTGACTTTTGTGTTGGTGTTCAGGATTATATTTAGCATTTCAGAGTATCTTTACATGCTCTTTCAGAAACTATCCATGTTCCATTATCAAAAAGGCTAAGATTCCTTGGTCCTGGGGCCTATAATTTGAAGAAGTTGCAAGCTAAGACTGGTAAGACATCCTTGTTTAATGTGATAATTTATCCTAATGTGTTCTTAGTGTCTTTTCACCATACAAAAGTTATTAGTGTAGAGTTCTAATTAACAGGTGTTAGTAGCACAAATAGTGTTATCACAGCTACTGTTAAGCATTAATGCTCTCCTTTGTCCTTTCAGAACTTAAAAGTGGGAAGCTTAAGCTTCCCACTTTATTTGGTATAAGTGACTTTTCTGCTCCAATAAGAGCACCTTAGGAAATACACAAGAAGTACTGTTGAGCAAAAAGTGTACTTTGTGATGCAGACTATGTCATGGTTTATGTTTTCAGACTTGTGCATTCAGCTGTTCCAGTGCTGGGTACAAATCAAGCATTTCCTCTGTCTTTGCTAGGCATGCCTGTGTTTTGAGATGTTAAGACTCGCTTCAGTGAGCTCAAATGTGTAGATTCTCTTTAGAGCTGTTTGCAGTTCATCTTGCAGTAGGAATTTGCAGAAGTATGATGCACATATGGCATTGTTTCTCGGGGCTTGTATGAGAGGTGGTTAAAGATCCTTCCAAGGACCATTTTCTAGATAATTTGAATGAGCAGTGGAGTCAGGCAAGGCTGATGTGTTACCAACCTGTTTCAGGATAGGTAAAATACACGCAGCTACTTTGTCTATGGACTAAAGCTTTGTGATTAAGAAGGGGTATTGAGGCCTTCCTGCAGTGTCCATGCATTGTTTTGCTAGCATGCTGTGAAGAGTTTGTATATATTGTTAACATGCTGGGATACATTAGAAATACAGCGCAGCATCGCAGTGCAGGGATTAGAGGAGTGGTCTGAACCAGGGCTCCAGCTGATAACAAGTGGTGTGAGAGTTTTCTGAGCTTGTTGCGTTTCTTGGAAGAAGTGAATCATTGCATTCATGGGTGCTTAAAGACGACTTCAGAAAGTGCTACTGTGAGTGTGAGAAGAACAGAGCTGTTGTGCTTCACGCACGAAAAGCCACAACTTTTGTCCATATGATTGACATCAGTGAAACTAGATTTAGTCCACTTAGTAACAAGATAACTGTAACCAACATTCAGCCATGACAGAGGTATCTCTGCTGTGATACTTCAAGACACATCAGTCTTTTTCTGAGTACTTTCCTTCTTTCATGTAGTAAATGTAGTTCTACAAAGCTACTTGTAGAAATCTTTAAAATGCCTGATATTTTAAACATGGATTTAGAAGATGTTCTGATTCAGCTGCTGTGGACTTGAAATGCTTAATCTAGCTGGCTTCTTTAGTGCTTGTTAAGGAGACAAGCTGAAAAAAAATTGAGGAAAAAATAAATTTCCCTTTGGGTGGAAAAACCAGTCTAGAGGTGTGAAGAATTACTGTGCAATTTACTGTGTTCTGGCTCTGAAGCACTTTAATTTCTATCAGCCATCAGTGAAAGCTTTAGTTTTATTAAGATTGATATTAAATTAATTTTTAATTTCTTACACTTATCTTGACAGGGTTTAGTTCAATGTTGCTTTTTTTCCTCTTAAGAAGATTATAATAAAGAATACTTCTGCAAATGTGAACGATTCCATGTGGGGCACAAGTTTGTCCAAGTATTTGACAAGCATGCCAGTGATGTGGTTGTTGTAGAAGAGCTGTCTGTTGCAAAGAATATTTGAAATGATTATAACAGATCTCTGTCAAAATATGCAAGATGATTTTGCTCTGCCAGCCTTTACTTGGTGTGAATTTTCTGCTTGATGGAATTTTAGAGATGTTCACTGACATCTCTTCATTAATGAATTCTGTTTCTAAGGTGTAACTTTAAGTCAGCTGGATGAAGAGACGTATTCTATGTTTGCTCCCACACCTAGTGCTATGCATGAGGCAAGAGAATTTATTGGTGAACTCTGCAAAGATGATGTAAGGACAAACTTTTGTTGTTGTTGTTTTTCAGATTGTATTTTGTGAGCATGTGTCTTACTGTTTTTTTTTCTTTTTTTCCCCTGTAGCAAGAAGTTAATTTGGAATTTGGTGCAATTTATACAGCCACAATAACTGAAATAAGGTACAAAGAATGCTGTGAACTTGAATTTAGTTTATGTCCTTGGGTATATTTCTGATACACGAGGTAACATTGATTTTTCTAAAGGATACCAAACTCATGTTGGTGACTTTGGCACTTGCACTGTTCCTGATATTTTGCTCTGTTGAAAACGTTCTCTTCTCAATAAGGCTGTTTATTTTTGCTACTTCGTTTTTAGAATGTCTCTTCAAATTATAAACCATAAGGTGGTCTTTTGCCTCTGTGTGTAAGAGGTGGTTGGAACCTGCTTCTTACTACTGTGAGGACAAACAAATCTAGCGTGAAAATTACATGTGCTTTATGGATGTTCTACTTATTGCAGAGCAATGTATTTTAATAATTTCCACCCACTTTCAATTAAGGAGAAATGCAAAGGCGTGTTATGGTTGGTATAAAATTGGTTTTTGGTTTTGTGTGTGTTTTGTGGTTTTTTTGTTTTTATGATAAGTAAAATCTTGTTTATGAGAAGTTTACCAGATCTTGTTTTGGAATCAGTTTACAAAATAAGTTGCAAACAAATTTCTCTCCCAGTGTTTTGAGATAACAGTGCTGTTCTCTGTTTCAGAGATTCTGGAGTGATGGTAAAATTGTACCCAAACATGACACCAGTGTTACTCCATAATTCACAGCTTGATCAAAGGAAGGTAATAAATGCTTAAACAAGTGGAAGACAAACAGTTAAGAGTTTCTAGTTCACATCATTTCTCACTAAACCTTGTATGTATTACCTAGTCTGCACACCTGGTGGAGTTTTGGAGTCTTAGTCTAGCAGCAACTTCCTGTTTAACCTTTGTCCTGCATTAGAGCTGCAAGCAATCTAACTTTCGAGTGCTGTGATCCTGCTCTTGATGCCATTAAGCACACCACCATCTTTAGGTCGAATACCCTTTCCTCTGTAACACAGCAGTTGCTCGTTAGCTTGTATTGAGCCACTTAGGTCTGTGTGAAGTTGCCTGATGAAGAAAAATGTATTGTTCTTGTTTTGCTCTTTTTTTTTTCCTCCTGAAAACTATGTTGGTGTAGAACTGGTAGCAGAAATTCATGTTAGTGACAGGGGAAAGCATAGAAGAAAGGATTTGGTCAGCGCTGGAAAAATACCTGCATGTATTGCTGACAGAAGAGCAGGGGGTGGCTTAAGGAAGTAAAAGTGTGGTTTTAACAAATGCAGATGGAGGAGGATGTAGTAATTGTTTAAATGTAGCTGTCAGCTACATTTTTGATAGTGTACTCTATGTCTAATCTATATAAACGATCCGCTAATTAGGTTCCTGCAGTCTCTGGCTTGGCAGCAAGCAATAAATAGATCTACTGGTATTCTTTTGTTTCTTGCTCTCATGCATTCTGTACGTTAGCCAACAGTCCTTTGCAAGGTACATTGCTAAGAAGCTGTCCTTCTGCCTTGTTTGTGAGGAAAATGCACCTGTAATTTCTCCCTTGTTCTTCTGTCAGCTGGTTGCCTCTTCCAAGAGACAGTAGTTGTTTCAGGCACCTCGCAGTGGTTTGCAGTTCACTGTCAATGTACTTCAAAACAACATCAGTTTTGTAGAGAGCATATAATTATTCTTCATTCTCAACTGGTGAGACAGGGCAGGTCTGAATTCCTGCCTTGCTGTTGCTGAAATAATTTGTATCAATGAGAGAGTATTTCTTTTCCAGCTACTGTTACTTGGCATTTATCTTTCATTTTTCATAATACAAGACTGTACACTGTTTCTTTGGTGTATTTTTACAGAAAAAGAATCTACTGTAGTTAAAGGATTGATGCTGTGCTGAATCCCTAAAGGAGGGTTTTGTTTTTTATGTTTTGTTTTAAAAAATTGTAAGATTAAAGTGTTTTGTTTTCTTTTCTGAAAAATACTGTTCTAGATCAAACATCCTAGTGCCCTGGGATTAGAAGTTGGACAAGAAATCCAGGTAATTTTATGGACTTTAAATTGACAACAAACTGCCTGCCATTCATGTATTTGTGTGAATTTCTCTATGTTTATGAAGGAAATGCTGTCAGATTATTTTGCTGTGCTGCTTAAATGCCTGATGATTTAAAAAAAAATCTCTGAATTTTTGCTGTCATATTCCTGCTATCCTAAGCAGCATATGAATGTGACTGAGCAGTAGAGACTTGAAGAGCATCTGTTGTGTGTGATTTTCTTCACATTAAAAAAAATAAGTGAAGGAAAATGCCAGCTCTAGCTCTCTAAGTTGGTTACTCTCACGTTGTTGTTTAACTTTGTGATGTCTGAAGCACTGTGGTGATCTTAAAGTGGCAAGTTTTCTTAACAGGTTAAATACTTTGGGCGTGATCCAACTGATGGTAGAATGAGGCTTTCTCGCAAAGTTCTGCAGTCACCAGCCACCACCGTGCTTAAAACCCTTACAGACAAAAACAGTATTGTCCTGGGAGGCACTGCTCCGGAGTCGTCATCATCATCGCAGTGACAAGTAAGGCTACCAGCAATATGAGAGACAGCTCTGTGCTGTACCTTCCTTATAAGGACTGTATAGAGTTCCATCAGCCTTTCTGTACAGTTAATCTTCAGCAATGTGGGATTACTGCTTGCCAGCTACGTTACAACTTCTCATAAGGGGCTTGATGTTGTACAGTGGGTTCAAATGTCTCATCAGTTTCCGGCTTCCTAAACAGTGTACTTTCTCCAAAACCATTTTACCTCTTAAACATCTCTTTAAGTATTCAATCTTCTCTAGCCTGCCACTGCAAGTGCTTCTGAATTTGGTGCCCTGGTATGAGGTTACAGAGTATTTTCTATTTCTTCCGTTATCTACCAGGGCTTCTTCCTGAAAATTGGATCCATCTTCACCTGAGTCTGCAGATGTCTTCACAGGAATCTGTATATGGATGGGAGTGAACCATATTTTTAAAACAGATGCTGTTCATGTTAAAGATGATGTGGAACTTCAAAGTCTTGAAACTGATTAAAACACTCTTCAAAAGAAAAACAGAAACAAGCAACACTCTTATGTTGTGTACCATGGTGAGAATCTAGGAATGTGGAATTGCACAGATTGAAGAGCGGATTGTTTTGGGTTTTTTCCAACAGTCACTTCAGTTCTCAAGGCTTTTTTCTCACTGTCATCTCAAGACAGAAATGTAAAGATGAGAAGTGCTGAAAAAGTGCTTCTGGGAGAAGGAATTGTACATTGGTCAGTGTCAGCAGCTGAGGCATACTTGGCCAGACCAACTTCTGCTGGCTTTTCTGAGTACAAGATTGAAATGTTGGTCAAAATGTGTAAACTTAAAAATGATCTCCTTTATCATGACTGATGTTGTTTCAGATAAATTGATGACTGCCATAGGATTCAGAATTGCTAAAATTATGTTCTATTGTCTGGCTTCCTGATCCTTTGAATTTCAAAATATTTCCAAGGGTCTCCCTAGAACTACTTGTTCTTCTACGGTGAGATATAGATCTTAAAAATCCAACAGAGATCCCCTCTGATGTACTCAAATTTGTAGGTATTCTTCATAGGATAATCAGGTTTCTGACAGCAAGTGGGCTCTGGAGCTTTTGAAGGAAAAAACAAACAAAAAAAACAACACTGTGGAGAAGAGAAATGTGAATTTATTGTATTAAAAAAAAAAAAAAAAAAAAAATTGTTTTGCTTTTTTTACTCTAACCTAAAATATTAAAGAAAACGACTCGCCAACTTCTTTTGCAGCTGTCATTCTTTCATTGAGTTGTCATGCTCGTCTGTAAGGGCTGTATACTTATATTTCTTAGTAAGAATTCTAATACCTTTACTTACCATAAGCTAGTTAATTTGACTGGTATCCTAGTTGTTAGATAATGTTCTTGATAGTGTTAATGAAATGGTGTGCTTTTTCAAGATGTAACTTCCCTTTACTATAGCAAACTTTCTGTAGAGTTCCTTTTTGTAGTGGGACAGCTACTAAAATACCACACAAAATACTTAGGAGCTTTTTAGTTAGTACTTTGCCAATAAGGTGCTTGCATTTGAGTCTGAAAATGAACAACCTGAAACTCTCGCCTGCAGTATTGATGGCTTATGTTTGTCCATGTGGTGATCTCACTAACTGAACTGTGGGGGTGCTGGGGAATTTGTTTGTTCAGTGGAGGGGGGCAAGATGTGTAAGTTTCCATGGGTGAAACCTCTACAGTCAACCTGACTTTCTGCACTTGTTACAAGTTCCAGGCTCAAAGGGAAGGGGTGAAAGGAAACTTGGCTTGGAAAGTGTCAGGGAGGAGCACAGACCAGCTGCTCTTCTTCGAGGAGTGGAGCTCAGTTGGAGCCAGGAACATAGTAAATGTGTGTAAATGAGAACCGTCCTGGAGAGATGGCAGGTTGGCTGCATTTGGAGCTGCCCATAGCAGCAGGTTGGGCTGTGACTGGAGGTGCTTGGCTCTTCCCTTCAGGTTATTGGCTGTGATCACAGAGCAGGTGTCTATTTCTTCATGTTTGAAATAGTGATATATATATATATATATATATATATATACATATGCTTTTTTTTTTTTGTCAGTGCTGATGTAGATAATCAGCTGTTTCAATGATCCATCATCCCAAATGGGGCCACTGAGAAGAATTGCTATGGAAAGTGAAAGTGGTCGAAAACTATACAGTGGAAGTACGGTACTTGGCCGTACTGCGTAACTGGTGAAAACTTTTAAACTTTAAAGATGGATTTGATTTTTAGTGGTTTAGATAAGATTATGTTATGGTTGCTAACACTCCATCCAACCCCCAGTTTAGAAGGAGAGGCCGTCCTTCACTTTACATGTTGGCTGAAGGGTGAGTGCATGTAGAGGTCTTGCAGAGGGAGGAAGGGAGTGGCAGGGATCCTGAGGCAGCAGCATGCTGTGACCTTTGAGTTTTGAGCTCATTTTAGCATGTTTCTTTCTATGGGGCTCTCACTTGAGCAGAAATAATCCTGATCTGCAAAACTTTAAGGGCACCAGGCCCTATAATGTAGAAATATCCACCACGTAGAAGCTGGGAAGCCAGCTGCCTTGTGTTCTTCCTAACATGGCTAGTCAGACTACAGCAGTCCTTTATACAGAATTACCAACCTGCTCATCTGTACTTAGAAGATGGGCACAGAAAGGATGTTCAGCATAAGCACACAGAGGTGTATCTCTGTTGCAAAAGCTGGTAAGGATTTTGTTTTCAGTGGGAGTGCAACAAAACGCACATCGCAGTGTCTGCTGGTGGTGCTGCTGTGACAGGGTGGGTGGAGAAGGAGATGCTGCAGACCGATCCTGGTGTTTTTTGTGAGCGAAACGTCAGTCTTTGCTTTCAGGACTCGGTGATGGACCTCGTGCGGGTACCGGCCCTGGGGCCGGGCTTTAGGGACGTGCTGTGTGTAACTTACGGTGGGCATTAGGTGTGCTACAAAGACGTGAAAGCTCGGTTCGACGGGCTCAGAACTGCCCGGCTCGGGGCCCGAGAAGCGCGAGGATTCGGGCGGGCCCCGCCACAGCCCCGCCCCGCCCGCTGCCGCCGTCCCGGCTGCGGCGCCGAGGCAACTGCCGGCCGCCGTAGCCCCTGCGAGGGGAGCCCGTGGCCGGGCTGGGAGGAAGAGAAAGGCGGCGAGAGTCGGGTTACAAGATGGCGGCGGCGCCGCGGTAGCTGCCGAGGCGGCGGAGCGGCGCCAGGGAGGCCCGAGCCGGGGTGCGGCGTCGCCCTCTCGCCGGCGGGGAGCCATGAAAAGCGGCGCGTTAAAGGCCCCGCGCTGCCCCTGAGCGGCCGCCGCCCCGCTTCCACGCCCGCTCTCGGCTCCATCGCCCCCCGGAGGCGGAGCGGGCCCGGGGCCGGAGCGCGGGCCCGAGGCCGGGGCCGCACCATGTCGGACACCCGCCGGCGGGTGAAGGTCTACACCCTGAACGAGGATCGGCAATGGGACGACAGGGGCACCGGGCACGTCTCCTCCACCTACGTGGAGCGCCTCAAGGGGATGTCGCTGCTGGTGCGCGCCGAGTCGGACGGTGAGAGCGTGGCCGGGGCTGCGTGGAGGCCTGGGCCTCCTCCGGGCCGCCTCCTCCGGGCTCCCCTTTTCCCTTCCCTTTCCCTGTCGGCGGTCCGGAGGCCGCCGGGCCTCTCCCCGCGTGCCTTGCGCTGCTCTGCCCGCCCGCTGCTCCTTCCTGCCCCCGGCCGAGGGCAGATGGAGCTGATGCACGTGACGACATCTTGTTCGGCTCCAGCAAAGGCTGCTTTTCGGTTCTGGAGCGCCCTTTGCTTTCCCTGCTCGGTGCTCTAGGAGGGCTTTTTCCGCCCTGGGAATTCAGTGATGCTATCCCGAAGGGCTCAGGTCGTGTTGTGTGTTGTTGCCTTACGTTCTGGAGTCGCTGTACGGCTGTGTGCCTGGCAGAGGGCACGCTCCGGCCGCTCAGCAGCCAACAGGTGCCAGCGTGCTGAATAAAGCACCTCAGAGCCTACGGATTTCGCTGGAGCTGTTGCCAGGATACATACACTGCTCACATACACAGTGTGGAGCGTTGGGTTTATCTGGATGATTCACTTGTGAAGGGCAGTTGAAGGAAATAAAAGCAAATGGCCCCACGTGGCTTGTGTGGGCAAACACGTTTTCATTCTGTGCAGCATGTTCCCCGCTGTGAGTTTGTATGTGTTTGATACAGGGCCCTTAAAGCAGTGAATTGTCACACTGGGTCCCTGGGGAGAACGTGGTGTGGAGAATTTAGAGTTTTACTGTAGGTGTTAAATCTTGTTTTATCTGGCTTACTTAGAATTATGTCAAAAGAATATTGTTCTGTAGGACTTCCTGGAAGATGTGGGTTAGGCTCAAGATGTAAGATCCATGGAAATGTTTGCTTTGTTAAACTCAATGTCTTCGTAACTTTTTCAGGTTCACTACTGCTAGAATCGAAGATAAATCCAAACACTGCATATCAAAAACAGCAGGTAAGTATCATTACCAGGCTGCACCTTCTCTGATCACTGATGCTCAGACTGACTGTCCTGCAGGAAGAGAGACGTGTGATATGCAGTTGGTGGTGGTGCTTTTTCGTGGAGCTGAAGCACTTAAGTTAGGAGCCTATAGGTGCTGTCTGGCTTTGTGTTCTAGAAACGTGAATATTGTTCTCCTAAAAAGCCTTTTGGAATGAAGGCTTTGAAGAGGATCTGTGCGTAATATTTGGCCCTTGTTACAGGAAAATTAGTTAGAAATGCATACAGCCTGTAGTGGGAGACAGGGGTTGCACATGTGAAATAACTGACATATGAGGAAGGCAACAGTTCAGCTGCCTTGTGATTTCTGCTGTGTTTATTTCCACCATTCTTTCTTTGACAGTAGTACAAAGGAGTTTGTGGGCTTTGTTATTGTTGCTGTTGACCTCGTGCTTTAAGCTTTGAAACCCCCTGCTCTCCTCAGTGAGATGCCTGCAGTTGGGGGACTTGGCTGCACAGTTGCCTTTCCTGGGGGTAAGGCTTCTGCAACACAAAGGAGCAGAACAGTTGGGAGCTACGTTATTAGGTCATCTTTGTTTAACACACTGAAACAGTCTACCACATCTCTTGCTTTTACTGCGTTTTTTCCTTTTTCTGTGTTCCATCTTGATGTCTCTGCCTCCATTGTTCTCATGGTTTTGTTCTGTGTTGGTTTTCTTTTTTTCTGTCTATTTCTTTGTTCTGCAGTGGATTCTGTTTCTTTTGTTCAGTGTTTTATACTGCTCTTCATCATTATGCTGTCCAGAAGCGTTTCAGCTCTAGAAAACAATTTGATTTTCTTCCTAAATCATTAAGAGCCTGTTGAAGTGTTTCACTTTGAATTTTTTCAGAAGGCAGATGACAAGTTACGTTCTGAGGATTTGAGGAGGGGGGCCTTCATGCAGATTGGCTGCAGGCAGACTTAGGCTCATTTCTCAGAAAGCTTCTTTCTGTGGTTTCCATTTTTCTCTGGTGAGATGTTGCTGTATTCAGTCAGGTGATGCTTGCTGGCTTTTCTTGGGTGGGTGGCAGGAGATATTGGTGGAGTTCTGCAGGCTTCTGCGAGTCAAAGGCCTTGAGCTGCTTCCTGTTTGGTGCAGGAAGCTGACGCCTGACAAAAACACCAGTGCAGGCTGCCTTGCTGCAAAGCTGGAAGTGCTTCCTTTTGCTGCCTGTCCTCTGAAATCCTCAGACAGCTGCTTGTTTGAAAACTTTCTTAACTGAGAGAAGTCTCATTTGACTTAATTAGGTGGTTGGCTTTTTGTTGTTGTCTATCTAGGCTGTAGTTCTAAAAACCTTATCTTAGGCTGAAGTTTGTTTGGGTTGGCTCTTACTGTCAGTTCTCATGCTTCTTTGCCCTTGTGGCTGAGTGTTTACTTTGCTTCTCACTCTTTTGGGGAAGTCTTCATTTTTTTGTTTTTATTTTTAAGTACTTACGATGGGAGTTTTCCAGGGACAGGTTGGAGATTTGTCTCAGTTCTGAACTCATGCTGCTTTTATTTGACTAGCGCTTTGTCTTCAATTTTTATGTGCCTATTGCAAAGAGCCAAACTTTAGGCTGTCCTGTGCTTCAGTCTCAGCTCACATTGTAGTTCTCACAAGTCCATTTCTCAGCAGATGTTATTAAAACGGTGGGAAGAATCAGGCAAAATATTTTGGCTGACCAGATAAGAACATGG